TACAAGGAGACAATTATCAGATGAGAGAATCACCTTTACAGGATACCCCAATTTGTTCTATGTAACGGGATCTTAAAGCCCCAGCCTTCAGTATAAATATGGCAGTTCTGTGCACAATATATGTATTGGTGCCCTGGAGAAAATAAGACAGTCTAAAATTCAGGTCTCAGTACTCTGTTCTTTCCAATAATGGGGATAAATATTTAAGCCTGATAGATGCATATAATTGACAATTAAACAGAATATGAAAAATGTTTTCGATATCAGGCGAACCGCATATACAGGTTCTTTCATGAAATGGGATATTATAGAAGCATCCATATTCGGCCATTGAGTCCAACAAATCTTGTTCTGGTAAAAGCCCTTCTTAAAAATTGAGGCAAACTCATACATAGGTATTTTTCGGGTTGAAAATTTATTTTGTTAGTAGCCAACCACCTTAAAGATCTATTTTTGGCTGTAAGTTCCAAGTCAGTTTGGACACTTATATCCATAACTCTCTGCTTGAAAATTTCCCTTGCTTGGGGGGCCCTAAGTAATAGGTGCTGAATAGAGACCCCATAACATGAGATAACTTCATAAAGTTGACAAACTCATGTGTTAAGCTGCGACATGCTTAGCTGTTCTGTTAGGCAAATTCTAGAAAGTCTATTGGGGTCCATTGTTTGAATCTTCAGCCAATATGTAAAAACTTTAATCATTAAATGGCTGTTTAGAGGATAAAAGCCTAATTCCACTCTTACTGTTGAGGCAGATGTGTTCTTAACTGTTCCTAGAATATGCCTCAGGAAGTGCATCTGGATTTGTTCCAGTGGGGTAGCTTCATTCAAACCCCACAGTTCTGCTCCATAAGTCATCATCAGAATAATTTTGGCCCTAAAGACTTTCAAAATAGGTGTCAGGGTGGATGGTTCATTATGGTAAAATAATTTGAACAACTTTTTAGTGCTTGCTTCAGCTCTTATCACACCTCTTCTAAAATGATTCATCCACAAACTTTTGTTACTGAAAGTCACGCCTAGATAAATATAAGAATTCACTTGTTCAATGGGTTCTCCATTTATTTGCCAATAATATTTCACATTTTTTTTTACTAAATATCAGCACTTTATTAAACATTATGAGACTAGGATAATACAAATTATCTATCATTTATTAACTAATACTAGGATGTCAAGTTGGACTGAGTCTCATGCTGCAACTGCACAGCCATTCTTTTTCTATCACCCAGAAAAAAATAATACTAAGGAATCGTAGGGTAGAAAGAGTTATTAGATTCTAATACCAGGAGCAAGATACCAAACTTAAAAAGGATTTTTTTTTTCAGAGACTGAACCACATTTTCATGCTGTCAAAGAGTGCACTGAACTCAATGGGGCTAACTTCTCTATAGGCATATATAGGACTGCACTGAAGCTGGTTTATTATGGAAGAAGCCTTGATAGACAACAGTCTCCCACAGTTGCGAAATCAATGTTCTGACAGGAACAGATAAGTCCATAAAGGAATAGATGAGTCTAATTGTCAATCAGATTATAAACTTAGACTATTGACTAAGTTGAAGTTGCTTATGGAAGCTCACATTACCAAATTCTGTGCAGATAGACAGAAAGATGGATAGATATGGCACATCAGGAAGAGTACTAGCTAGAACCCTTCTTGCTTACATGGATTTTTATTGTATTTCAGGGAATTGTTTTGCATAGAAAAAAAATTCTTTACATGACCCTCACCTGCAGACTGAAATCATACAGTCCAAATACAAATTTACTACTTCAGGAAGAACTTAAATCTTAGCAACTAAGGGTCACCACTACACTGTGTATGAGTACAGCAACAAAGCCAACTGCTTTTCTCAAGAAAAACAATTTGAATTTAAGGACACTGCTAAAATTAAAGGACTCTTGCACTACCCCCAAGAAATATCCCTTCAACTCATAGCCCATTTCTGGGATCTCCTCTTACTTAACCTGATCCATTTCTAATATTGCTGCTGTTTTCATTTTGCATTTATTTTTCTGGATCAAGAAGGTTAAAATGCAACTTTGCCATTGCCAAGCAAATCTATAAAACAACCTTCCAACCTGATGATCTCAAGCTGTATTGATGCTGGCTGGAGATTATAAGAGCTAAAGTGCAATGTATCTAGAAGACAGAAGGATGAGGACAGCAAGTCTACATCATTCAATCCTGAACTGACTAGCAGGATTAAAGCAGCAACAATGGCACCTCAGCAAATTGCCATTCCTCAAAGGGCAGATGCCTATATATACTTCTGGAGAAACAGGTTTGCTTCTCCTGAAGTCTACTAGCGCTACAGAAAAATGTTTGGCCCTTGATATTGGAAATACAAGGAAATTCAGGAAATAGCTAAAAGACTTCTATCATATAACTTTCCCAAAGATAAAGAATTCACCCTTTCCCTGATGAGAAAATTTTCTTAACAATAATCAACACTTCAAGTTAAGCTGAAGCTGAATTTCACAGGAATAGTAAAAAAATGTCATTTTGAAATAATTCACAATAAAAAGATTTTAATGTATATGCAACAACATGTCAAGTTTTCCTCCAAAGTCCATCATGCAATTTTATGAAGCTACCACAGCCTAACTATCAGAAAAATGACAAAAGAATACTTTTGAGTCATGTATGGCATTCCATCTATAGATTCTATGCTATCTTACCTTGACGCTGTCTACATGAGGCTTTATGTAGCCAGTTTGATCCAAATCCAGGACATGGACTTGAGTAAGCTGTGGTACTCCTGGGGGAAAAGCAGCATTCCGGACTCTTTGCAAGATCTCATGACACTCTTTGCTCCAATATGATTTTTCTGTCTCACGATACTTATGAATGGCCTACAGGAATGAAAAGAAATCATATGAATATCTAAAAAGAAAACGAGATAGCCATCTACAACTTTGATCCATATATGCGCTCCTGTGATATGGAATTACATGATAATCGCTAAGTGATGAATCACCAAATGTCATGGACCTTTTTATATTGCCTCACACATACATTTCAATTGAAACAGCTCATAATCAAATACTGAATAATCAGTTTGAGAATATGGTACCAGGCTTCTTCTAAAGAAATATGCGGAATGTGGGCAACTTTATAGTTTCCACCTAATGGTCCTTCCCAATTAGATTACAACAGAACCGAAAGTCTGGGCTCACCCATCTCACTAAGCTATTGTTTGGTTTTTGCTTAATATAGCTTATTATGTATTCCTGAACCATCAAAGTGCTGTTTTTATTGTGAAAGGAAAAGATGAGTAGGAGATAAGAGAGGGAGAGTATAGATTAAAGAGTTGATCTGTGCACATTTATTTGCAAATAAAGGAACATTTAAACACTGAATTTCCAATAGAGGAATCAAATTTAATACCAGAAATAGATCTAATATTCACACCCTGATTTGCTAGTAAAGAGTTAGTTCACACCAATCTATTTATTTAACAGTTTGTATAACACTGGTTAATTTTCTAAATGCTTCACATGAAAAGATACATAAACAAGAAATACGTATTAAAATAGTAGAATAAAAATACCTCATCAAGTTAAAATTCTATTCACTGACAAAATAATGCTTGAATTTACAAATGAATGGCAATTATAAATGTCTGAGCCAAATCCACTAAAAAAGACATCTAAAAGTGTATCATTTGATCCAATACCAATCAAGAATGAAGAAACCTATCACATGGGCAAGATGGGATGCAACAGTTAATATGCTGGATCTTCCCACAGCTCAACCTCTTTCAGTGGATACTTCCCTTTCTAATCAAGGACAGCACAAATCTAGATTGGATATATTTGTGATTATTCTGGATTACTGAACCTTAAGTACTTAAACTGTGATGATTCACCATGTCCATGTCTCAGTCACAAATGATAAGGAAACATTATCCCAGTCAAGATTAAATAATGTTGAGTGCCGTTTCCCAGTGTTATAATCAGAAACCCTTGAAAAGCACACAAGATCTGCATAACTTCCTGCTGTACCATCCCAACAAACAGCATCAAAGACATATTGCCTTTGATCCTGGAGATAGTAGATAGCCATCATAGCAAATAGCTTTCGGCACCTTCATCTCACAGTAGCCACTAGCAGCAGCTCTGGGGCAGGGCATGAATGCAAGATATCAAAATTGAGAGGAACATCACAGTCATCCAGGTCTATGCCCCAACCACTGATGCTGAAGAAGCTGAAGTTGACCGCTTCTATGAAGACCTACAACACCTTCTAGAACTAGCACCAAAAAAAGATGTCCTTTTCATCATAGGGGATTGGAATGCTAAAGTAGGAAGTCAAGGAGTAATCGGAATAACAGGCAAGTTTGGCCTTGGAGTACAAAATGAAGCAGGGCAAAGGCTAATAGAGTTCTGTCAAGAGAACAAGCTAGTCATAGCAAACACTCTTTTCCAACAACACAAGAGACGACTCTACACATGGACATCACCAGATGACCCCATGAACCATATTGCGCCAGGCCTTCCTGTCCTTCAACGCCTCCCTGAGTTTGCTCAGTTTCATGCTCATTGCTTCAGTGATGCTATCTAACCATCTCATCCTCTGCCGTCCTCTTCTCCTTTTGCCTTCAATCTTTCCCAGCATCAGGGTCTTCTCCAAAGAGATCTCTCTTCGACCCCATGAACCATATTGCGCCAGGCCTTCCTGTCCTTCAACGCCTCCCTGAGTTTGCTCAGTTTCATGCTCATTGCTTCAGTGATGCTATCTAACCATCTCATCCTCTGCCGTCCTCTTCTCCTTTTGCCTTCAATCTTTCCCAGCATCAGGGTCTTCTCCAAAGAGATCTCTCTTCGACCCCATGAACCATATTGCGCCAGGCCTTCCTGTCCTTCAACGCCTCCCTGAGTTTGCTCAGTTTCATGCTCATTGCTTCAGTGATGCTATCTAACCATCTCATCCTCTGCCGTCCTCTTCTCCTTTTGCCTTCAATCTTTCCCAGCATCAGGGTCTTCTCCAAAGAGATCTCTCTTCGCATTAGGTGACCAAAATATCTGAGCTTGAGCTTCATTATCGATGAAGAGAGATCTCTTTGGAGAAGACCCTGATGCTGGGAAAGATTGAAGGCAAAAGGAGAAGAGGACGGCAGAGGATGAGATGGTTAGATAGCATCACTGAAGCAATGAGCATGAAACTGAGCAAACTCAGGGAGGCAGTGAAGGACAGGAAGGCCTGGCGCAATATGGTTCATGGGGTCACGAAAAGTCAGACACGACTTAACGACTAAACAACAACATACATGCCCAGCCTGCAGATGGCTGCAAGCTCAATCCCTGCCATTTCCACTGAGAAAAGAAACAAATAAAAACAATACCAAGCTAGAACGTCCACATTGTTTATGATAGTACAACTGTTTGTATCGTAGTATTTGGGATATAAAGCATGTTATCTTTATATCTATGTTCTTCAGATTATCTAATAATCCTACAAAGCCAACTAGAACAATGCTGATCTTCCCATCTTGTGACAGCAAACACCCGAAGTTAGTTAAGTTCACGACACACTAAATTACAAATTAGCCAGCATTATTTTAACCTAATGCATTGCGCAAAGTAGTTCATGGGGCATGTTTATGGTTTATTATGTTGTGCAAGCCCACAAAGTGTGATTTATTTGGGAAACCATTATGCACCTTTAATAAGATTCACCTAGTCTACTTGGTCTCTCCACATGTTCTAAACTAGGAAGCTTGAAACACCTTGTGCCTAGGTTCACCCCGATAACTGGTTTGTTGAATAAACCACCATATATATGGCCCAGTTCACCCATCACACCTAACCATAAACGGCGCAAAGGTGAGTAACGAGGCTCACACAAAATACGAAGCCGATCCTAAGCCAACTGCATTTCAAGCTTAAATGTGGGGCCAACAGGCCCCACTGACTTTTCCTCGAAGCGACGCAGAGCCACCCACCCCGTCCCAATGCTCGTCTTGATAGCGGTGTCGGCGCAGCTGTGGCTCCAGCTCCTGAGCCAGCAACGCCTCCTCTTCCTCGCTAAGGAAGCCCGGCGTCACCGAAGCGCCGCCGGCCTTCAACTTTCGCCAGAGAGCCTCGCTCGACGCTCGGACCTCGGCCGGCAGCGGCTGCAGCTGCGCCTCCTCTGCCGCGCTGAAGGCCCGAGGCGACGGCGCGCGCCGCGACAGAAGCCACAGCAACCGCCCCCCGGTAATCTGGCCGCGCGACAACATCGCAGCTAAAGCAGCGCGAAGGAGAGCGCCCGCAGTGCATGACGGGCCGACCTCCAGTCATTTGCATGCTGACGTTCTACTTTTGCATATGAAACAACGGGAGCCCACGTGGTGCAGAACGCCCTTCAAGACACCTCCTCTACCTAGGCTCAGAAGAGCGGCTGGAAAGTTAGCTGTGGTTGTGTCCACCCATCACACTAAGTCGAGGAGATCATATTTGGCCTATAAAACCTGGCGTTTAGGACAGTTAGAGGTCTTGGTAAATCAGTAACCATTGCTGCCCGTCTGGGACTGAAAAGAACATGTGGGATATCCCAGCCATCACTATCCATTAAATATGGTTAGTGTCAAATTGTGCACTCCTGTATTATAGGAACCTTCTTGCTGCACTTAACTGCAAACCGGGCAGTGTCATTTTAGCCTACTGTCATAAGAAGTCATAAAACTGGATTCAGTAAAAAAAGGTTAATTAAACCATGGATAATCACTTCCTGAGAGCAGTCTTATTTTGGGGGGGAAGCCATAGGCTCAAGCCGTACCCGTGGGACGGCAGGGATTCTGCAATTATCCTCTTTGCCCATTCCTGTATTTTTGCTTGTAAAATTTGGACCAGTATGTGTAGATCTGAGCAGTCTCACATCCAGACAGTGTGAAGTCCAAGTCTTCATTTCAATGAATGTAAAATTCAAGGCAAAAATCCTCCAGACCTCAAGTGCTCTTCCTTGTCCCCACAGCACTGTGAAAACAAACATGTCACTGAAGAAAAAGACTTTGCTCGACTTCATAATCAAATATATTATTTTTAGAACATCAGTATGGAAATCACAATTTTTAAAAGAATGGAGAGGTGATATCACTCCAAATACTTGGACCACTGCAAATATTTTTTATACAGATCCTAGGCAAAGCACCCGGCATTCTGTTCTCCTCAAGGTGTTGACATTCAAGAACCTGGTTCCAAGCATACAACAACCCACTCTGTATCAGAACAAAACAAAATTAGAATAGAAACCACACATTCTTAAAATGCATATTTATTTTTAAAAAATAGGAACACCCAAAGAAAACCTACTTCATTTTTATGATTTGTCCCCTCTCTCCACATGCATATAGAGATACAAATGTTAACAAGTACAGTCTAACAAATTTAGGCTGGCTTATTCCTAAAAACTATTTTCACCGATATATTCTGTGCTGTAATAAAACTCAGTTGGATCTCAAAACAGCAGTTCTCAGTAGATCTACTTTTTATGTAGGCATTTCAATGCAGACATGTATTTCTGTTGACCTTTCTTAAGTAGAAGCAACACATTATGTCTAGAATACAAATAAGGGAACGAAATACGTTTCTCAATTTCAGTTGAATAGAACAGAAATTTTGATTTCATGTAGCCTTCATGGCAACATGCACTGAAATTGAATTAATAGTAGCGTGGTGAAAGAAATCCTTAGAAGAAGCTGTTGAGGAAGCGATCCAAGCAATCATCCTGGAGATCATCCTTCACAGCTATTTCTGTTTGGCAGGCTGTGTGTTGGTAGGTTTCTCTTCTTTTGCTGAGCTGTTGGGGAGAATTTGGCCTAAAAAAAGAGAGAGAGAGAAAGAAATGTACTTTTACTCTTCCTTATGGATCCTTCTGAATCCAGAGAACTCAACAGCTTCCAGTTTATGGGAAAGGGGCAAGATTTAATTAAAGGACTCCATAATATATATTTTTTTAAAATCCTGAATCAGTCTCTATCAGTGCAACTAATTCATACACTGTAATTATATATTATGCATTGTGCTATGATGTAATATTTGGTTTCAGTTTAATATGATGTTTGAACCCAACCCTGATTTCTCCAAAACACCATGGTTAAAACAATCCTCCTTAATGCAGTGTATGAACCTCATCACTGTCATTCCCTCTTCCCGCTGCCAGAAAATAAGTGCCTTTCATCTGCAGTTGGAAATACACCCCAAATTAGCTGAACCTAAAAGGGATAAAATAGACAAATTCCAAGTACAGTGGTACCTCTACTTACGAACGCCCCTACTTACGAATTTTTTGAGATACGACCAGCTCTGGCCCCAAAAATTTACCTCTACTTACGAACCAGATCCGCGGCCATTTTCCCTGCTGCCACGCAGTCACGGCTTCCTGGGGGCAAGATCGCGGTAGCAAGGAGACGTTCGGTGAGGCTTGTGGTGTGTTTTGTGGCATTTGGAAGGTTTTTG